CCTTCTCACTCCATCTGGTATTGCATCAAAAACTACAGCGTATTCTCTTGGAGTGACAGGAAAATCATAAACAAACAAAAATTCCTTATAGGAAAATAATTGACCATCATCATTCAGTAATTGACTTACAAGTAAAATATTTCTATCAACCCATTTTTGAATATATAATGATTTATTCTTAAATTTAATATCCTGATTGTTCCAAATGAAATATTTATGGGGAGAAAAGTTGTGAGAGTATATCATTAACCAAGATGATAAGAGTTGACTCTGAAAGTTGGAGAGTTTAATCGGTAATTTAGAGATATTGTAATTGCATCTTAGCAGAAAGTGCAGTCCTCCAAATGAGTTAAAAATGTGGTTGGTAACAACGTTCCAAATTGAACTGGGATTTTTTAAAAAGAGTTTGATCCATTTGATTTTAAAAGACGCGTTTAAGGAGGTGAAATCTAAAGAGTTTAGACCGCCAAAACACAATTTGTTTATCATTACATTTTTTTTAATATAATGTATTCTCTTTTTCCAAATGAAGTTAAATAATATTTTATCAATTTTTGTGCATAGTTCTTTCGAAACATCAAGTGCCATAGCTGCATAAATAAGTCGGGACAGGCCTTCAACTTTGGCTACCAAGGATCTTCCGGTAATGGATAAATCTCTTTGAAGCCAAAGATTAAATTTATGTTGTATTGCAGTTATAAGAGGGTCAAAATTTTCAGATAATCTGGCATCTTGGTCTTTTTGAATGATAATACCAAGATATTTAACCTTATTTTTAACAGGGACACCTGATATAATAGTATCCGTGCAGAATTTAACAGGGAGAAGTTCACATTTTGGAATGTTGAGTTTAAGACCAGAGGCTATTGAGAAATTATTGACAACTTTGAGAGCTTCATCAACTTGATATTTATCTTTTAAAAAAAGTGTTGTGTCATCCGCTAGTTGAGTAATAGATAGTACTCTGCCAGCAATAGAGAGACCCACCACACTGCTATTTTTAAAGTGAATAGAAAGTAACTGCATAGGAAGAAGGAAGAGAAATGCGGAAAGTGGACAGCCTTGCCGGATCCCACGGTTGATATCAAATCTTTTCGTTGTACCAAATGGGAGTTTGATTGAGCTATTTGCATCTGCATATAGAGTTTGAATTGATTCCTTAAAGATATTTCCAAAACCGAAAATGTCAAGTGCTCTGAACATGAATTCATGTTCAATGGAGTCGAAAGCTTTATAGAAATCCAAAAAAAGAATGAAACTATTATCCGTGATTAAATCTGAATAATCCAAAATATCAATTACCAGTCTTATATTGTTAGTTATGTGTTTACCAGTCATGAAACCAGACTGTGTTTCATCAATGATATCATTCAGTGCACATTTTAACTTTTTAGCCAAACACATAGCAATTATTTTATAATCGTTATTCAGCAGTGAAATAGGTCTCCAATTTTCTATCGAAAGGGTGTCTTTTTGAGGTTTTGGAATCAAAGTAATTAGCCCCTGAGTCAAAGAAGGAGGCAGCTTGTTATTATCAATGCTTTCAATATATACTTTATGTAAAAAGCACGACAGATCCTTTGAAAATAATTTGTAAAATTCCGAAGTCAAACCGTCATTCCCTGGACTCTTATTAAGCTTCATTTTATTAATAGCCTCTTCAATGTCTAGTATTGTGATGGGGGAATCACAAATGGCTTTATTATTGTCACTAATAGTCTTAATATTACTTAAGGAGTTAAAAAAAATTTCCATGGCTTCTGTAGAAAGATTAGATTTATATAAATTTTTATAGAAAAGTTCACAAGTCTTGGAAATCACTTGAGGGTCTTGTGTGATGATCCCGTCTGTACGAAGTTTAGTCATGCTGGCAAGAGCATTATGGTGTTTTTCTAATTTGAAAAAATAGCTAGAGTTTTGTTCTCCCTCTTCAAGCCATTTCCTTCTTGACCGCACAAAGGCACCTTTTGCCTTGTAAATATATATAGTATCTAATTTTAATTGTAGAATTTGAAGTCTGTTCCGGTTATCTTCCGATAAATTATCAGGTGATCTAGACAAGGTAATAATTTCAGAAATTATTTCTGACTCTTCTTTTTTCTTATTTTTAACTGTTTCAGCTCCCCTTTTCATTAAAAGGGACCTCAATTCAAATTTCATAAGCTCCCAATTTTTACAAAAAGTATTTTCAACACATGCCTTGTTCCAAAACTCATCTATTTTTGTTTTAATTTCCTTTACCAAAGAATCATTCAGTAGAAGAGAATTATTTAATTTCCAATATGAATTCACTCTTTTAGATGGTTTTCTAGCACACAAACATATCTCCAGAAAAATTGTTTTATGATCTGTCAAGGGTGTTGGCAACATTTTTGATGTAGAAACATATTCGGATAAAGGATCAGAAATTAGCCAATAATCAATACGAGACTGTAAGGAGCCAGATCTATTTTTCCATGAAAATTCCTTAATTGTTGGATTTTTGATTCTCCAGATATCAATTAGGTCTCTTTCATTTATAAAATCCAACATGTAATTACTACTCTCCTGACTTTTACTTGGCCATCTGTCTATCATGTCATTGAGTGAATGATTCCAGTCTCCTCCTAATATAATCTTTAGATTAGCAAATTTACTTATTAAAGACTCAATTTTTTCATTCATAACAAGTATTAGGTCAATATTCTCCTGTTTGTTATTATAGCCGTAAATGTTACCCAATAAGAGGGTCTGATCATTAAAAAAAACAACCAGCAAAATAAAATGTCCGTTTGGATCAGTTTCTGACGATATAATTTTTCCATTAAATTTATGTTTTAAGATCAGAGTTCCCGCTGAATGTTTTGTGCCATGAGACATCCATAAATCATCACCCCATTGAGATTTCCAGAAGTTAGCGTCCTTAGGTTCAGAATGAGATTCTTGTAAGAAACAAAAGTCAGTATTCAAACTTTTAGCATATAAAAACAGAGCTTTCCTTTTGGTATTGTCTCTTAGTCCTCGAGCATTAAAAGAAATAAAAGATAAAGATGAAATTTTGAAAAGTAAATAAAGATTTTACCCTGAGAAGAGTGTGTAAGCTTTAGAGAGAGCAGAACTACTCTGTCTGAAAAAGTGCTTCACAAAACAGTTTAGCAGCAACAGCATACTATAAGTCTTCAGAACAATAGGGGAACGAGACCTTGAGGTATATCCACAACTGGGCTGGAAGAGATTTCAGTGAATTTCTTTTCTGTTCACGAAAGCACGGGCTCCGACAAAGTAGGCAATTTTCCCTTCCTTACGTGCTTTCTCCACCTGTGGCCATAGTTGGTTGCGCCTCTCTCGGTCCTCGGGAGAGAGATCTTCTTTGAAATGGAGCTTCCTTGTCTTCAGGTAGTCAGATCGCTTCGCCGCCTTCCAGATGATGTCTCGAAAGTGTCTCATAGTAAATTGCAGGATTATGGCGCGATGCAGTGGTGCAGAAGAGGACTCACGTCGTCGGCCGATTCTGTGGACTGAATCGAGTACCTCCGGGAACTTATCTCGGTGGCCAGGATCCATGTTTTGGCAGATTTCAATAACCTTACTGCGTACATCTTCTCCTTCTTCTTCAGGTAGACCGTGAAGTCGCAGGTTCCATCTTCGTTTATACCGAGACAGCTCCAGCACTTTGTTTTCCAGTGTTTGAATTTTCTCTTCTGCTTTATCCACTTTTATTTCAGTACGAGACACTTTTCCTTTTAGCTCTCTGAGATCTTCTGAGATAAAGTTAATAGTAACCTTCAGGTCGCTAATACTCTTCTTGATGTTAGCTCCTTGCTCTTCGATAGCCATCTTGAGCGTCTTAATAATGCTTTCCGCCGTGTCAGTTTCCATCACTCTTTTCTTACCAGGTTTTGACGGGGAGGAAGTAGGAGTAATAAGAGTTCTCTTATTTGAGCTCAGGTTTTTTTCCATCACATACAGCTAGAAGTTTGCACCTTAGGGTTCGTTTTGCTGCTTATAAAGGAATTTTAAGACGGAGCAAGTTCTGTAAAGACCGTTCACAGCGCCGCCATCTTGGGGACCCCCCAGAATCTGACATCCTCCAGCTCAGGAAGCGCCTATGATTACGCACAAGTGTGACGCGTCAACCCGGTCTCACAGTACCGGGTTGGACCTGTTCAGGTTTACGCAGACAATCTTTACATTTAGAATTGGCATACAGATGTAAAATTAATGCAGTAAAATATAAAGCACTTTATTTAAATATCCATTAATTATTTTACAAGCACAGAGAGCTGCATCAGATGGATGGAAGAGCCGCACGCGGCTACAGAGCCGCCGACCCCTGTGCTAGCCTATATTGTCCCCAGCAATTTTTAAACCCCACTCAAGTGTATGGTTATTGTCCCCAGCAATTCTGAAAACAAACTGACGCCCTTGCGTACATAAATGATGTAATATAGGTGGAAACGTTTTTCCGGCTCTCCCTGGATGTGTAGGATATCCAGCTCCCCCTTAATTTGATCCCTGCTCTTGGATGAAAAACCAGACATTTTCATGGATACAAGACCCCTCCCCCGGACAGAGGTAAAAGTGGACATGTCCGGGGAAAACAGGACGTATGGTCACCTTAATTTAAATAGAGCCTTTTGACGACAATAATCACATCAAGGAACTTCATGCACGTGGGCCGGAGTGGTAAACAGTGTGCAGTATTTGTGACACACCAGATAAACATTCCAACAATTCAGATTTGACCTTTATGACTCAATAAGGTTGTTTGGGAACAAGACACGTCTCTGTGGTACCGTAGTCCACAAGCGACCACAACCCTCCGCGCTCTGCTGCGGACATTGACCTGTGAGCAGACAGAACTGTGTCGGACCCGCAGGGACCGTCTGCAAATTAAAGATCTGAAAAGTTCTGCAACTCCAACAATTCCGGTCTGAAGTTATAAAGAGTTAACTTCGGTTCTAAATCAGGTCGGTAGGTGTGTTGGTCAACTGGGTGTTGTTTACTTTTCTCAGACTCACCTGGATACGAGTCACAGCTGTTCTGTAGAAGCTTCGGTCCAGTCAACAGTTGGGGAATGCGGAAGTCACGTGCGCCGCTCGGAGCACGTGATTCGTAGGCTGTCCAAGGAAGACCCCGCCTTTCTCGGCTGTGATTGGCCAGTAGGTGAACTTTGAATGACCTATAAAATAAAGTGTATCATCTCAGACACCAAAACAACACAAACGATAGTTTTACCTGCAGCCTATTCTGATTAAACGCCATCCCGGCTGGACTATTCATATTCGACCTCCTGCCTTTGTGGCATTAGCAAAGCAGCTCTGTCCAGACTCCAGCTGGTTCAGAGTGCAGCAGCAAGGTTCTTGACTGGCGCTAATAGAAGACTACACATTAAACTTCTCAATGCTCCGGTCCTTTCACTTGTTGTCGGCCCAATTTAGAATTATTTTTAAGATTCTTCTTTTAGTTTTGTTTTTTAAGTCTCTGAATGACTAGGCCCCTTCTGCGCTTTCAAATGTTATATTTTAGCTGATTGTTTATTTATTTATTTTTGTGTGTGCAGAGCTTTGGTCAGCTGCATGGCTGTGTTGGACGGGCTTAACAAATAAAATGGTATGGTATGGTATTGTAAATTAAGTTAAGCCTCTGGAGCCAGAGGTGCAGTTGTGCCATAGGCGTCATTTTAACTGGGGACACCAGCAAAATTTGTGATTGGCAGCTGTGTCCTTCCACTTTCAAAAAAGCCTGCTGATGATATATTTTTAATATCGTAGATCTAATACCTACGTCTGTTCCCAGCAGATGGTCTTTAACATACTTTTTTAAAGTCACATCTGGCATCTAATTATTTATACTCTAGCTTTAAATAAATATAAATTCGTAATCAATTTAGATTAATTTGTTACATTTCTGAAAAAGCAACCCTCCCTCTCAGGGTCGTGCAGAGACCTTTGATGGGGCGGGTGCTCAAAGTAAAAAAAATGGGGCACATATAGAGCAATCCAACAAGTTAGAAAATTCTGATAATGAGACCCTTGGGTTCAAACAATGTAATAAAAATATATCAATTAGTGTCATTAGTGTTAATGTTATTTCATAAATAATAGTTTTAATTTTAAAACTGACTTATATCTAGAGATGTTACAACCACATTTTAGCCCCTGATCCGAGTCCAAGTTGTTTGATTTTTGATTATCTTTCAATACTGAGTCCTGTTCTGATACCAGGTGGTGATGCAACGCATTATAAAAGAAGAAAGAAGTCGTCCTTCTGTCTGTATTTGTCATTTTGTTATTTTAGCCTGAAAAGGTCACTCATTCAGGAAGTATATTTAACAGAAATCAAGATACTTTATTGCTATTGCACATGTGTACAACCAAAGATATTTTGTGCTTACTAAAGACAGCTCTAGTAAGAGGTCGTAAAATAAATGTAAAATAAATGCACCACAGAAACTTATCCAGTGTGATCTACAGCTATGATGGCTGAGATCTTTTTCCTGTCAGTAGAAAATTCTGGATCCCATTCCATGATCTCACTGAATTTAACACTAAACATGAGAGGTCTGCTACTCAACCTAACAACAACACCCTTTACACAAAGGCACCATCATCACATACGTGGCAGGAGTCTCAGAGAAACTTAGAAGAATCTTCTCCAAACACAACATCCCGGTAAACTTTAAACCCAACAACACCCTCAGACAGAACCTGGTCCATCCAGAAGGCAAAACACCCAAATAGAAGCTCAGTGGGGTCGTTTATGCAGTCCAGTGTAGTGAGGACTGTCCAGATGTTTACATTAGAGAAACTAAACAACAATTACACAAGAACATAACACAACACAGGAGAGCCACCTCTTCAGGTCAAAACTCTGCAGTCCACCTTCACCTGAAGGACAAGGGACACACCTTTGAAGATGACAAAGTCCACATTCTGGACAGAGAAGATAGATGATTTGAGAGAGGAGTAAAAGCTATCTATGTCAAAACGTGAAAACCCACTTTAAATAGGGGCGGGGCTTAGATTTCACCTTTCCAGTACTAATAATGCAGCTTTGAATCTCATCCAGTTTCAGTCTAGGTCACACCTTCCTGCATCTAATCAACACGATGACTCAACATCAATAGAGGCTAACGACTCATCAGGAGATGGAGAGGTGGGGTACTCAGAGTAGTTTCTGCTCTTTAAATACAGTAACAACAGACAGCTACAGCTTATAAGCCTGACTCTCCCATATTCCAGTTAGAGCTGGCAAAGCTACTCATAGGAGAAGTGAAATGTTTTAAAGAAACCAAAGAAGTCCAGTTGCCTTCATTTGAATCCTTTGGAGTAATAGTCAATAATAAAAATACATAATAAAGTAATAAAATGTATATAATTATGCTCACATTCACTTTTACCATCTCTTTGTGGGAGGCAGAAAATTTATCACGTTTAACCCTCTTATGACCATAAATATAACTGGTATTTTTGTTTTTGTTTTATGGCTTTAAAATTGTAATAAAAGTGCAAAATGTTCATACAGTACTTCCCTCTGTCCTGGCTACAGCATAGCACACACACAGCATGACAGTTTCCTGGTTCCATTGAGAGAGGAGCAGGAGTCAAATAGCTGTCTCCGCCCACATTTAGCCCCGCCCCGATCTCCGGGAGGCAGATCTCATGCACCTTGGTGGTGTTTGTAATTCTATTTTCGTCGTCGTCGTCGTCTTCCTCCGCTTATCCGGGTCCGGGTCGCGGGGGCAGCATCCCAACTAGGGAGCTCCAGGCCGTCCTCTCCCCGGCCTTGTCCACCAGCTCCTCTGGCAGGACCCCAAGGTGTTCCCGGACCAGATTGGAGATGTAACCTCTCCAACGTGTCCTGGGTCGACCCGGGGGTCTTCTGCCGGCAGGACATGCCCGAAACACCGCCCCGGGGAGGCGTCCAGGAGGCATCCTGACCAGATGCCCAAACCATCTCAACTGGCTCCTTTCGATCCGGAGGAGCAGCGGTTCTACTCCCGAATGTCCGAGCTCCTCACCCTATCTCTAAGGCTGAGCCCGGCCACCCTACGGAGGAAACTCATTTCGGCCGCTTGTATCCGCTTATTGAGCTTAACATTTTGTTTGACTACAGATTTAATTTGGTGATATTCTAAAAAGCTATTCTTATCTATTCCAAATTGCGAGACTATTCTTTTAAATGGGATGAAGTCCAGTCCTTCATATATGTGTTGCAGGTATAGGATTCCTTTGTTTTTCCAGTCCGGAAGGTTCATCATTTTGTTATGTTGCAAAAATATCAGGATTATTCCAGATAGGTGTGCGTCTGCATGGTACTAGTGAAGACGCTGTCATTTTTAGATACTCCCACCATGCTGCCAGAGAGGTGCTGATACTAGTACTTTTGAAGCCTTCATGTTTTCTTATGCTTGAGCTAATAAATGGTAAGTCAGAAAGCTCTATCGTATTGCAAAGTGTCTGTTCTATGTCTAACCAAGACTCATCTAGTGGGTTATCTTGCAACCATCTTGGTATATACGGCAGCCTGTTGGCTAAGAAATAATAATGAAAGTTGGGTAAATCCAGTCCTCTTCTGTCTTTGGTCTTCTGAAGCGTTTTTAAGCTAATTCGTGGAGGTTTATCCTGCCAAAGGAATTTGGTAATTGAGGAGTCCAGAGATCTAAACCAGTCAGCTGGTGGTTTGTTTGGGATCATTGAAAATAAGTAATTTATTCTGGGTAAGATCATCATTTTAATTGTAGCAACCCTCCCCATGAGTGATATCGGTCAGGATTTCCATCTTGCAAGATCATCTTCCACTTTCTTTAAAACTGGAATGTAGTTTAGTTTGGTTAGATCTGCTAACTTGGGAGAGACATTAATTCCCAGGTATGTGATATTCCCTGACTCCAGTTGTGTATTAAGTAAATTGACAAAAGAGAAATTAATTGGTAGAACTATGGATTTTAACCAGTTTATAGAGTAATCTGAAACGTTTGAAAATGAGTTTATTAGTTTGATTGAATGGGAGAGAGAGGATTGAGAATTCTGGAGAAAGAGTAAAATATAATCTGCATGAAGACTGATCTTATGTTCTATTTTCGTACACTTTATCCCTTTAATACATGTTGTTTGCCTAATTGCTGCTGCTAGTGGTTCGATAAAGATAGCAAACAGTGAACTGAGCACAATTTCACTACCACATTTTTATTGTCTCCCAAAACAATCTACACCATCTCACAAACAATCTCTTCCAGAAAATTAACAGTACCATAAACTGTCAATTAACTTTCCTGGACTAACAAACCAACCCCACTTGATACAGACTGGCTCATGGTCTGCAACAAACAGTTCGAGACAACACAAAGTGGTAGTGTAAACTAAAAGTATTTATTTATACTAGACTCTTAACACCATGTTCAGTCAGTAAATCCGTCATGTCTGAGTGCCTGGATGAATGAACCTGTATGAGGAAGCACAAACAAAACCAAATGGCCAGAGGTGGGTGAACTCCCCACTGCACAGAGGAGCCACCCAATGAACAGACAGAAGGAGTAGAGGCCCACCGGGCCCAGGTGCCCCCTTTGACTTGCATTAGCCTTGTTCGAGGTGAGCCGGTTCTGCGCAGATTATTTCACTGGTGATCGGCGAGCAGTGCATGCCTGTTAGATTTGTGTCCGACTTGATGCCGACTTGCTCTGACGTCATGCATACGTAGGCATTGATAACCTCTTGAGATCAAGGTGGCCCCGGATATTGGAGCAAGGTGCTGCAGTTGCTCTCCACTGGCTGCAAAACTTAGGGGGTGACAGGAAATGCCTGGCTCTCACCTGATCTAAGATCTGATAGGTTCCCATTCTGATCCAAACATCTGGTGGGAGAATGTGAAATATTAGTTGGTCACATGTATTCTGTAAACAAATTTATGTTGATGATGACAACTATATAGGCCATGAAGAGAAATATGCTTTGTTTTCTTACATTTCCTGTGAGCACACTAAAGCTCTACAGCTGATAACCTTCACTTATTATTACAGTCATATCTTCATATGCACATGTCTACAATATATGATATTGTGAGGCTCCAGAATTAAAATAAAAAATGAAACAAGTATCAACGCTAACGCGATATCTCACAATATAACTATGAGAGTGCG